TGTTGAAAATATCCAAGAATCCCTATATTATCAGATATCCAAGTGGAAAGACAATACAAAAGAAGAGGAAGAATTCCAGTAGAGTTAGTCTGTAGCCTTGTAGATTATTTCCTGCACTGATCATGGAGGAGATTGGGGGACAGGGATAATCCCGGGCCATCAGCTCAGCCTCGTAAAGTGTTGCACCGAAAGGCCAATCTGAAATAGACACACATCAGCTGAATCAACTGATCGATCTTGTAGAAGTCAGAGTTTATAGAATAAATGAAATACATTTTAAATTAACTGCTATATAAACACGAATCACTACATTTTATTCTAAGTGTACAAGTTCTTTTATTATATATTGTATGCTTTAGATACAAATGTATGTTTCGAAGGCGCGGAATATTGATAAATTTTTCAGTGACTAAGAATGAAAAGTAAAATACGTTTTAGTTTTACATTTTTGAGTTATTTTTCCTTTACCTAGAGATTTTCCATTGATTTTCTGAGCAGAGTATATTCTGTCTGTATTCACCGGAAACCCGTAAGCAAAGGTAAGAAGCTCTGTTATGTACAGTCCCATCATGCAGGTACTAGAAGCAAACTCTGCCCGTACTTTGTAAAAGGATACTGCATAATCTATAGTCTGAAGAAATAAAGGAATCATTAAGATTTCAAAACAAAGGTCCATTTGCAGCTTTCCGAAAGCAATTAGTGGCTTCTCAAATCTAAACATGGCCAAAGTATCATCTGAGGCCTTGAATTGCACAGTAAATAAACAGTGGCTCTGTCAATGATATTCTGGTCACGGCACCAATTGCTATGTGGGATTAAAACTAGCAAACAAAACAAAACATCACGTAAAGTAAGCGTTGATGTAATTTTATGCCTTTCAACAGTTTAAAACTGGTGGTTAAGTATAATGACATGATAGCTCATATTTAACACATAAATTAGGCTTCGTGGGTTTTTTTTCTTTTCTTTTTGTTTGTTTGTTTGTTTGTGTTTTTTTTTTTTTTTTTTTGCTGTTGTTGTTATCTTAACTGTATTGTGAAAATCAATTTATAATGATTATTGTGTTTCAATTTAGTATTAGCAAACTTACCTCACTGCAATATAAATATGCAGTTTTTTTAGTTTGTCAATATTTTTTTTTTTAAGTTGGCAATTGTAGCATAGAATATGTCTGAACCAGTTTTTTTGCACATGGCTTCGGATAACAAGTGTTGAGAATCTTTTGAAACATTGATATGATACTTTGATTGAAATATGTTAAAGTTTGTCTGAAATATATAAACAAAAATGTGTGGTTGAAAGGTATATACTAAGTACATAACATATCGTTTGATGCATTTTTAGCTCACCTGAGCCGAAGGCTCAAGTGAGCTTTTCTGATCAAAATTTGTCTGTTGTTTAATTGCTGTTGTTGTTGTCGTCGTTAACTTTTCACATTTTCATCTTCTGTGAAAATCAATTTATGAAGGGGATTTATTGTGCCCTTTTCAATTTGGTAGCGAAAAATTAATGGCATTTAAAAAAAATCTTCTCCTCAAGAACCATTGGGCCAGGAAAGATGAAACTCATGTGGAATCATCCTCAGGGAGTGTAGATTCAATTTTGTTCAAATCATGACTCCTGGGGGTAGGATGGGGCCAAAATGGCCGATCACAGGTTTACATACGAATATATAGAAAAAATCTTAAAAAAATCTTCTTCTCAAGAACCACTGGGCCAGGAAAGGTGAAACTCATGTGGGATCATCCTCAGGTAGTGTAGATTCAAATTTGTTCAATCATGAAGGCAAAACTATCAAAGTTTGGCATAGGAATATATAGGAAAAAATCTTTAAAAACCAATAGAAGGCAGGAAAAATGAAACTCATTTGGAGTCATCCTCAGGTAGTGTAGCCTATTGCATCATGACCTCCAGGGGATAACAATGTTTTACATAGGAATATATGAAAATCTTTGAAACTCATGTGGAGGTAACATTGATATGATACATAGGAATATATAGGAAAAATCTTTAAAAATCTTCTTCTCAAGTACCACTGGGCCAGGAAAGATTAAACTCATGTGGAATCATCCTCAGGAAATATCACAGATTTTTCAAAGTTTTACAAAGAACATATAGGGAAACCTTTTAAAATCTTGTTTTTACTTCAAAGCCAGGCTTCGTTATAATATATAGGTAATAAAAATGTGTGGTTGAAAGGTTTACAGTTCTACTATCTGTGTAGCCATAACATATCGTGTGCCCCTGCATTTTTTGATATACAAAAAGAGTTTTTTACCTATCATTTTTAAAAATTAAAACTTACTTATCAATGCACACGGATTTAGGATATCCATACTGTGTGGATTTTGTTCGATTAGATGCTCTTTTATTCTTTTCTCCATATAATTTGTTCCAAAATTTAAATAACTGTGAGAATAGAGATTGAATATACGTCCAGATATTCGAACAGGAAACATGTGAGCTAAGAGAGGTCCGTCTGGTAAAAAAGTGATTTGTGTGGATCCGCCTCCCATTTCGAGGACACCCACTGCTTTCGATTGTGATCTAAAAGAAAACATATCTAAACTGATAACACAAGTCATCCTAATAATAACAGTATCTCAATCTAATTTGCAGTTAAATGAATTAATACATGCATCTTACTGATTAGAAGATAGGAATCCATTATGGTAATTAGCAGTAATCCAAGCGAATACTCCCTCCTCTTCGCCAGAGAGAATTCGAACGCTTCTTTCGCTATATATGAATTTATGGTTTCTTTTGTCGGACAGCACATGTCGAACACTGTTCATTAAGTTCATAGCTTTTTCTTCTTCTACAAACCGTAACCCTGGAAAATTTTTAATGAATAAAAAGCATAATATTTCAAGAGAAATTTTGAAATTTTGTTTATTTAAATTACCTACCTGCAGTTGCAAAGAGATAAATGTTACTCCTGTTATGACGATGTGAAGGCACTTGCGACTCAGCAATCGAAATCAAATTCTTTATATATTCTGGGAGTGAATCTAAATTATCCTGAAATGAACTCAACGATGGTTTGACTTTTTTGTAATATTTTTCTGTTATGTAAAATTTTGATGAGGTGGATGTTCGTTCAGGCCACGAGTATACTCTGAGTTTTGTGCTTGAACTTCCAGCATCGAGCATAACACTATACTGGGTTGTCATTGCGCATGCGCTGTCCATCAGGAAGAGGATTCCCATACTGATAATGACATATATAGTCATTTCCTGTAATATAAACAAAACTGATTCTGTAAAAATTCATCGTTATGGATTTTATTTCATAAGGGTTATCTACATGATCATTTAAAATCATTCAACGTCTTAGGTGGCCATCAATTGATAGAAAAGGGCAAATTGATGGCTTTTCTACATTTAATCAAGTCTTGATTTATGAGTTTGATCAGAGTATGAAAATTATTTTTCAAAAATATAAAAATAACGAAAGAAGGAATTTACCCTCACTATTATAATCTTACCTATTCTAATTTTGTGCCTTAATGCGAGATCAGGAAATAAAAAATAAACATGTTTACATACTGCATAGATTTTTAACAGGTGAGACAGTGGTGTTTACTTTTGACAGAATCACTTCAATGTCGTCCGTTTTGTGAAGTTCGTTTTATTAGCCAATGCCAAAGAGAAAAAATATTTAAAATTGCTAAAATGATCCTTTCTATAACAGCTGATCTCTCTAACGCTTTTTTTTTTAAATAAGAAGTGGAAATACAAATGTACTTCTGAAATATACTCTATAGTGTATAAATTTGTACTTTATTCTTTGGAGGTTGCTGTTGTTATTGTTGTTGTTGTTGTTGTTTTAACAATAAAAAGTTCTGACAGTTACCTTGTTTTGTCCGATTCGATAATTTATCCCAGTTACAAATGAATTTTTAATTAATTTTCATAAAATAGATTAAGCTTCTGTTACAGAAACGTGAAGTATTAAATATAAGCAGAGAGATTTTTTAACTTTCTTTCTTTTTAATGAAAATCAAATTCCAGCGAGCATCGCATTTCATTTGGGTTATTTTGGTGGAAAGATTAAATGAATGTTGCATATTAACTTCGAAACATTTTATGATTTAAAGTTCATCCTGTAACGAACTTGACTGTTATAAGAAACCCTGCATGTAAGATTTCAGAAAATAAACTTAATTTCAAGCATTTTCAATGTTTATTTAAAACAGAAAAAAAGAATGTAAACTTGAACTTTACAGAGAAAAACAAGATAAGAAAATATTTCTATTTATCAATTTTATTTTGGGTTATGGACAAAAATGTTTCGCACAATTCATATAATCCATTCATTTAATGTTTGTTTGATGGCTTTTTAAGCCTTTGTGATCTCTATAATGGAGGTAACGAAGAGTATTCAAACTCAAAAAAATACACGCAAACAATACATATCAGGAGCAGGGCAAAATACAGACCTCTAAACATCGGAGTTGGGATCAGGTGGAATCAAGAAGTGAGCATCACACCCGCGCCGTGTGCATGTTCACGGTTGGTAAAAAAAAAAAGGGGGGGGGGGAATTCCGTAAACAATTCAGTGTGTTTTAATGGTCTAACAATCAGTATGAAAAAAATCCTTCAGTATTTGACTCTATGATAGATTGTATTTGCCGAATTTTTTTCTAATATAATGGTTTGTCTATTGTTGTTCATTTATAAACTTAGGACATCTTTAGCATATTACTTCCTGAGATTGATTGGGTGTTCCGTTCAGAGATTACCATTGCGCCACGTACGTGCAAAGTCGCGTTACCCATTGCACTGAGTAACTTTGTTTGTTTCCCACTTCTATATATCTCTATACTGATATCTTGTTGGCGGTGATGTAGCTTTTAATAATAATACAGAGATTAAGATGGAAGTAACATTTTCTCTAATGTTCTCGTTTGATAAGACGTTGCGCTGAATATAGTTACGTAGTATTTACATTAATTTTCCAGTATTACTTTTTATCCCCTGCTTCCTTCCGTCTTTTATACTTTGCGACACCTTTTTTTCATCTTAAATAATGCAATTGTGTCCCTCCCATTGTACTTTTTTTACTGAACACATATTTCAGGTCCATATCAAATTATGGACATTGTTGATGTGTTGGGGGAGGGGCATGTTTTATCCTTATCCACAACTCCTCATTTTTTATACATAAATGTCCTGGAAAAAAAATTAATCTAATCAGTTATTGCTCTGCATTCAAAATCAAGATCTTATTCTTATTTGAACCTGCTTGACACAATTACAGGGACTGGATTCTCTTTAGCTTTCTTTGTTTAGTATCTGGTGAAACCAGAAAAGTGTGTTGTCCTTTTAGCATATTGATAACTAATATACAATTATTGCTGGTTTTTGAGGTCAATACAATGATTTAGCCATCTGAGGAGTACAATATTCACCGAGCCCAAAGGGCGAGGTGAATATTGTACTTCGAAGATGGCTAAATCATTGTATTGACCGAAAAAATCAGCAATAATTGTTTTATTATATGATTCACTGATAAAATGATACAGCTAATTACTTGCTTGCATTTTATTAAGCCCTAGCCAAATACAAGAGAGTAGCAGAATCTAAATGTGAATAAACCTTACCAGTCGTATCAATTTGAAATGTTTTTTAAAATCAATTTTTGTAAAAAAAAAAAATGCCATGAGAGAAATATATATTGTCAGTCTTTTTTATGGAATAGATTTTGAATGGAAGGAGTTTTATTAGGAAAAACTGACTACCAAAAAGTTTTAAAAAAAAATGTTGTTCAGAAAAAGTGTTGGAGGGGGATGTGTGTTGCATCCCCTCTTACCTCCTCACCCAAAATATATATTTGCTGTTTTTTCACATGAAAATAAAAATCATAGTCGTTTAAATAGCTTTTAAATAGCTTTTTAAAACAATTTATATCAATTTGGAATTTCCGAATCTATTTTTAGGTAAATGTAGAGGAAATAAATCCTTGTATTGACCTGGAACGTCACGTGCAGGTCAATACAACGTAATATTTTTCTAACATAGTTGGATCTCAGCCAATCAGAGAGATTGAAATTATTCAATCATATAATAAATAATTTTATTCACAAGGTAACCCGGTAATTGAAATAAATTATTGAGTCTTTTTTTTTTTTTTTTTTTTGAGCCGGAATATTTCCTTAGACACCTTTAAATACTGACCCAGACATTTTTTCACATAAAATGAAGACATCATCTTCAGAGATATCCCCTATTTACTAACAGTGTATCTAAATTGGAACATTTTTATCTACCTCGTATATATAAACTTATTTATTTGTACGTTCTATAGTTGTCTATACGGTGAAGAGCTGTCAGCCGGTCAGAGGCAGATATAACAATAAACAGACTGATGGGTGGCTCATTATGATTAACTTGATCTATACAATAAGAGAGGGTTTATTTATCTTTAATTAACGGTCAGTATGCAAGTATATACCCAGGGGTCAGGAAAATTATTCAGAATTTTTTATTATTATTGGTTTCTATGGAATCTAAGATCTAAGTAGTTCTTCACAATGAACATCAAATAGAATATATCTATAAATCGAAAATAGAAAATTCTTTTCGGAAAATAAATACCAGTCCTGTATTAGATAATCGTAGGAAAAGTTTTACATCTCTAAGACATTTAGGTGAAAACTAGGCGATAAATACAATCAAAATGTTATTTACTAATCATAAATTTAAAGAGACTTCAACCATCCGGGTTGATTTCGAATGCTTTATCATTTTATCTACGGGGGATCTTTAAAAGCCTTACCTTTAAGTATAGAGAAAGTCCAGTTGAACCACCAGGAGGCATAGAGCTAATGAGAGAAGGGTTACATTTGTTACATACCTCACATCTGGGAAAAAGGGTCTGGCTTATGACAATAACAATTAAACCTCTACTCCAAACACTACGCGATTTATGTATAGGAGATACGTACAAAAAGGGAAGGCAAAAAATCTCTACAATAATTTATAACTTTTTTAAAATCCCAGATATTGCCTAGATGTCTTATCTAATATCACCGCGGTGGTTGTGATATAAACTTCTGTTTCTTTTAAATATATTTCAAGCAGCTGGTAGTCCAGTGAAAATACGTGTTATCTAAATTGACCAGGATGTCTGAAAAGATTTTCTTTCTAGTATTACAAAAATATAGCATTTTGCTGATAAAAAAAACATTTTGACACATTATTTGAAATTCGTTCTTTTTTCTACAACTTATTTCATTTTTATGTCATCTTCATTGTTTGATTTGCGTATTTCTTTAACAGATATCTTGCTAGAAAGTACGGGTAATTTATCAGTCCCAAGACTAGGCCGATGGTAACCAGAACTTCCTATTCTTGCAAAAACAATAAAACTGTCCTGTTATGCAATGAAATGAGTACTAGTCCGTTGTCAACAAAAACTAGCTTCATTTATTTTTCGATAAAAGTACAGACATAAAATTTAACCGCAAAAACGATAATCATTACTTATGTTAAATGATATTATTTTTACTGAATATTTAATATTGTTAGTGGAAGAATCGTTGGACTTTTCACAGTCTGAACCTTAATACCCTTTTTGGTACATCCATGATAAAACCTCGACAATTAGGAAGACCCTTGGTTCCTAAATAGCTTATTTTTTCTCTTTACCTCTGGAAATTGGTCTGTTTAGAAACCAGAATATTTCGAATTCTCAAAAGAAGGAGTTTAACTTTATAATACGGTATATCTAAACTGCATGATGAGGGGGCATGGGCCTTCTACTCTGAGCCAGAAAGAAAATAATGTTGATAATCAGAATTTTGCTTCAAATGGCAGATACTATGCCATCCAATTAAAGTTTTAATGAGTTAACACTCCATTAAAAAGTTCTAGACTTCCATTCTATAGATTCATTACTATATACCTTACTATACTATATACTATATAACCTTTCATTTCACACGAAAGAACAATGCTTCAGTTTTTTATGATAAATTTACTTTCAAATGATCTGTAAATTCTTAATCCATGCATGTATCATTTTCTGTAAATTTTGATTTATATTTAATTGATTGATTGATGTTTATCTCCTTGTCCGCAATATTTCAATCATGTTTCGGCGGATAACTTAATATTTAAATCATCTTTAAGTATAGAGAAAGTCCTACCGAACCTCCAGGAGGCATAGAGCTAATGAGAGAAAGGTTACATTTGTTACATACCTCACATCTGGGAAAAAAGGGTCGGGCTTATGACAATAACAATTAGCCCTCTACTCCAAACACTACGCGATTTATGTATAGGTGATACAAAGAGGGAAGAAAAAATCTCTACAATAATTTATAACTTTTTTAAAATCCCAGATATTTGCCAAGATGTCTTATCTAATATCACCGGGGTGGTTTTGAAATAAACTTCTGTTTCTTTTAAATACATGTCAAGCAGCTGGTAGTCCAGTGAAAATACGTGTTATCTAAATTGACCAGAATGTCTGAAAAGATTTTCTTTCTAGTATTACAAAAATATAGCATTTTGTTGATAGAAAGAAATCTTTTTGGCACATTATTTTATATTCGTTCATTTTCTACAACTTATTTCATTTTATATTATCTTCATTGTCTGATATGCATTATTTTTTAAACAGATATCCTGCTAGAAAGCACGAGTTATTTAGTAGTCCCAAGACTTGACCGATGGCAGAACTTCCTATTCTTCAAATAACAATAAAACCGTCCTATTATGGAATGATGAAATGAGTCTGTTAGCAACAAAATCTACCTTCATTTTTTTCGACAAAGTACAGGCATACATATCAATATTTAAGCGCAAAGACAATAATCATCAATTTGGCAAATTGATATTATTTTATTGAATATTGTTACGTCAAACGCGCTGCTAACACGCTTTGTTACGATGTTACGACACAGTAACCGTGTTTACTGCGTTTAATGCCACTTATGGCATGAAGATCATAAAACCCGACGCTACGCAGACCTAGATGACTGTACGGCGATATCGCTACGGTGGTGCAGATGATACTTCGATTGCATTACGCTTCTATACGATTTTGGCGATGATCCAAAATCATTCCAACCGCAGATATCTCTAATATGATTTTGGCGATGATACATATATATCTTGGACCGCAGACTTTTCGCGGCCTTTACCACATGGTTTACGGGGAAATTATATATTGTAGTTGAAAGGTGATGAATTTGGTCAAATATAAGCGCTTCATGTCTAAATATGTAAAAAGATAATATACCTTTCATTCAATGTTTTAATATACATGTAATTATGCTTCGACCTATGGAGAGAAAGATAGGCAGTGCTTTAGTCCATTTCATTAAATATATTTTAAATCAAATATCAGCGCTATAAAAACAAACTGCTTTATAGGTCGTGATATGATCACGTAATGTCATTTATATTTAAGATTCTGTGTAACGTCTAGAGAGATCATATTGACCTTGAACGTCAAAATAAAAAAGTACAATAAGAATGTGAGCGTAAAGGTAAGTTTCTACGCTTTTACTGCGCTTTTACTATGATCACGAAGATTTTCTAAATGCTTCCGCGCTGCTTACGATTATGGCGCTTCTACTACGCTCTTTTTACGACTTTCCCGATTTATGTTCTGTAAATACGCTTGTTATGAGCATGTAAATAACGTGACGAGAGCTGAAAGCTCATTTTCTTTCTATCATAATTCTTGTACTGCGTTTATGAAGATATACGACGTTTCTACCTCGATTATAATCGGCCACGTTTTCGGCCACGCTTTGATCGTTACACACCAAGTACATGTGTGAACGGGGGGTTAGAACAAAATCTTAATTTTTTTTGACAAAGTACAGGCATACATATCAACATTTAACCGCAAAGACAATAATCATCACTTATGTTAAATTTTACTTTTATTGAATATTGTTAATAGAAGAATCATTCAACTTTGTTCAAATTAGACACAATAAAATTAATGCCCCCTAATGGTACATGGATCATAAAACCACGAGAATTAGGAAGACCCTTGGTCCCAATATTTTCCCTCTTTACCACTGGAAACGGGTGAACGTTTTTTCATATAATTGTTAGTCCAAAATTATTTAACTCCCAGTGAGAAGTAGTTTAACCTTATTTACCGATTATGACAAGGAGCACACTTCGGATCTGAGCCAAAATGAAATTGATATTGATATTTGATCCATGGAACTTGATCCCAGAATATAAGTTATAATGTGTTAACATGCCATAAAAAGTTCTAGACTTCCATTTTAGAGATTCATTACTATATACCAGAACCTCCTATTTCACAAGAAAGAACAGTGCTTTAGTTTTCATGATATTTTTTTTCAAATGATCTGCAAACTCTTTATCTTTGCAATATCACTTTTGTCCAGATTTATATTTAAGATTCTGTGTAAGTGTCTTACAGACATATTGACCTTGAACTCAAAATAAAAAAGATTACAATAAGAAATGTGAGCAAAAAGGTTAACCATTGTTGGCAAATACATCTTGCTTTTCTAAATGTTTCTTAACTTAAAAACTAGAAGCACCACAAGTTTTAGCGATTTCTTACGTTTATCGTTCTGTAAATAACTTGATATCAAACGTAAATAACTTAGACATGACTGAAAGCACAATTTTCTTTCTATATAATTCTTGTACCCGATAAGATAAAAGATTATCTACCTCATTATAATTTTTTATGTACTCGCAGCAAAGAATTTGATACGTTACACACCAAGTACATGTATATTCTTCGATGTTACAATCTTAATTTTTGTAATTTCAATATCAGCTTCTCGTTTAAATCAATCATATGGATTAAGTTCTATGGTCGATATGTACAATTCCTTGTCAGCAAATACTATATAGTACAATTTATCATTTCAAATGCTGACTGACGTGTTTTTACTTTTATCCATTATTTTTACACTGAATATATCGGATTTTTCCGTTATTTACCGATTATATATGTCAAAGGAGCACACATCTCTGTTTAAAAAGTAAGGGGATTCTCACTGTATATAGCACCTGATCCCACCTCTGACGTTTTAGAGGTCCGTGTTTGGTCTACAAAATTTCGTATTGTTTTATGGCCTTCTGATCTTGCAATACTTTTCGAGATCTTCATATGTTTCATTTCCCTACATTAAAAAAACAACATGATCAAGGGCACTTCATAGCGAAGCATTCCCTCGCGAAAAGGATATGTGTAAATCAAGGCAGCATTCGACATTGATCTCGATGCAATTTAAGTCACTTCCGTTTCAAACATATTTTACTCACTCACCCACCCACAAACGAACACACACTATTGCGTTACTATATCCCCTGCAAATCCGTTGTAAGGGGATAAAAACTGAAGGAGAAAATGTGGTCATTGGAGCAATTCGTTGTAGGCGGTTAAAGGCCATCAGTCTGGTGAAATGTCGAATATAATCTTGACTGCATTATCTGTGTAATGCAATTGGGTATTTTACAGCAAATTTTAAAGCTTGGTTCCGACAATTAATTCAAAGAACATTCTTTTTTATTTCTATTTTATCCTCGAAGTGTAATGAAACATTTTTTATCTCCAAGTTCCGAACATTTAACCGTTAATTACTGCATACCTGTACGGAATTGAATATTGCTAGAAATTCGTGTTGAGAAATGTTCTCAAAAAAAAAGTTTTTCATTTTCTTTTTCCATCATGTATCTTTATACCCTACACCGTGCAACAATCGGTTAATTGGGCATCCATAGAACCCGTCCGCTTTAAATATTTACACCGATTGCTCGCTGATAGAAATACGATGCTGCAGAGAAAACGGCTGTCGATTTTTGCGATATTAATATCTCGTTAATCATCGTTCACATTCCATCTTATCTATATGGTTCCACAACTTATATCAAGAAATTTACATGAACTGGTCGTAAAGACAGTAAATGACCTACTGACC